CTTTCTTGTTTATTCTGGACCCTATTCGGAATTTGGCTCTTTTGAAATTTGTGTGAATTGGAAAAATTGCTAAATTCTACCATGTACTGGATAGTTAAATTTTATAAATGGTGTTTTCTTGCCCCCTTCGATAGAAAAAATGGGTTCTAGCGAAATATTCATGTTTTTTGTGCAGTACAGTGAAATTGGCCAAAAAAGGGCTCAAAGTGGGCAAAATCGCCGATGCGTAAATATCGCCGAGACCGCTAACTTTGCGAGAGCATAATTCCGTAAGTTTTCTATCAAATTTCAAACTTTTGGTGTCTTTATGATCGGGAAAAGATTTCTATCTTTTCATAAGGAAAAAAATTTTTTTTTTTTTTTTAAAATTTGGCCGACCCTGAAACGGTTTCGGAGGGGCCTGTCGACCCTCAAAGGGTTTTTTGAAAGATTTTGAAGGGTTTTGGGGGCTAAACCTGAGATGCCTATGCCAGTTGTGGAATTCATTGTGCTTACTTCAGAGATTAAGGAAATGTGTGCAAAGTGAGTTGAACTGCAAACCTTTATGGAGAAAAATCCCTAACACAGCTTTGCAAACCCGGGGGGTTTTTTACAATGACAAGTTGGAAACCCCTTTAGACAAATCAAAAAGGAAAAGAGAGGTACAGGCCTACGGACAGAATGTTGGCGAGAGAGGGCCTGTCTCAAACTGTCCCCAGGGCATTTCAAAAAAGGAAGAACCCCGGGAAAAGGATTTACACCTCAAATCCTAATGGGAAAGGGGGTTCCCCCCCTAAAAACTACACCATCCACACTCCCCTCCTCCCTCCCTAATCATCACCCCGAACTTTTAATAAAGGTAGTGTCATGAAATTTACATGCTTCTTAGTTTGGTGTATAAAATTAAACGATTTCATTGGTAAAATTTTTTTTTAAAAATTTTGGGGTTCGGGAAGGATTAATTTATTTTCCTTATTTTTTTGGGAAAATTAACTCGATAACGTAATTTCGACTAAAGATGATTCCAGGAACGGATTAATATTTTTGGTCGAGGGGCCCCTGTTTTTAAAAAAAATTTTTAAAAAAATAATAATAATTTAAAAATTTAAAAATTAAAAAAATAACTGTGTTTCACCCTTTTGGCAAGACAGTGATGGGTGAATGTGGTGAAAATTTTTCTTTTTCGGGCCACCCTGCCTTGGTGGGAACGGCCTGTGTTTTTAAAAAAAAAAAAAAAATAACTCCCCCCTAAAGTGTCAGAAATCATAATTTGGGCCAAATTTTCCCCCAAAATTTCAAGAGATTCCAGTTTTAAAAATAGGGGCCCGATAAACAATGCAGACATTCCCGGCACTAAAGTAACATTTTCCCTTTCATTGCATTCTCCAGGCCCTCAATTACACTTGTTTCCATTTTTAATTTTTTTTTCACAAAAAAAATAGAAGATTTACTGTCACGTAGTTTTCTATACATTGTAAAAATTGTAAATGTCAAACCATTCGTGATGTGTATTAGCTGACCATTGGACACCCATTGGACAGGATTTTAATTTTTGTACTCTTGAACATGGCTAAAAACAACATATCCGGGGCTTTTAGCCAATTTCAAGGAACTTTCCCCATCGTGAAAGCCAATCAAAAACATATCTATTTCTGTTTATATCTTTAATTTTATCAAACAAAACCAAAAAAACGAGAATCAACCAAAAAAACATCAAAAATACAAACAAAATTGCTTTTTTACACCAAAAACATGGTCGAGTTTTTCCATTTTGTACGCGTCCAGATTTTTTTATAAGGGGCACACTTTCCCACAAACCCATTTTCTCATTGTAGGCCCCCAAAATTTTCTGGTCAGCTTTCTGATGAATGAGTCATGGTGACCGACGTGCATCAAAACCCCTTATCTTTTATGGCAATGTACGGGGCAAGTGCTTTACACAATGAGAACACAATAAACCCCCAATAAAGAGAGGACTTTTGACGACGTTTTTTGGTCCGACTTGGGCCATTTACAAAGTAACACTAACGAGAAGGAAGGGAGGGGGGTAATATAGGCGGTGGTAGTTTAGTTAGTGGAGTCGAAGGAAGTAGTAGTGGGGGGGGGAGAAAGTAGGCGGGGCCAATCAAAAACATAAGAAAAGGGGCCTCAAGGAAGTTGGTGCCACAGAGGGTAAGAACAAGAACAAGAGGGGGAGGAACAAAAAAAAAGTAAATAAGAAGGACAAATACACAGGGGAAAACGACAACCCAAAGAGAAAAAGGAAAAAGGAAAGGGGAAGGGGGGGGAAGAAGCAAAAGGGGAACAGGGTTGGGTTTCGAATTTCTGAATTTGGAGCATTTTTCAAAGTGTGGGGGAGGAAGGCCTCAGAGACGAAGCGGGGCTAAGATTCATACAAGGAAAATTGGTGTTTGAGAGGGTTCAACAGATGGGGACTGTTTAAAGTTGGAAGTAGGGAAGCAGTTTTAGCAGAAGAAACCCTAATAGGATGGCTTTATCTCTGATGTGACAGAAAAGAGCATCTTTGGTCCAAGCCCCAACACTTTTTTTCTCCCAAGTCGTCAGAAAAGATCGACCAGTTTCTCCAAAAAATTTTAAGAGGACGGAGGAGCAAAAAAATAGGGGTAGACACCAGAGCTCGTAGAGGGGGGAAGGGAGAACGAGATTAGTGCAAAGAGTATTAGTCTGGCGGAAAGTTTGATGTCTAAGGAACTGAGAGAGTTGTTGAGATTAGAAAGACCGAGAATGTAGGGAAGGCAGAGGACAGAAGAGTTCCCAGGAGTAGAGAGTTTGGGAGAGAAGAAATTATGTTTAGCATGTGAGAAGGCAGAGTCTATGAAATGAGAAGGGTAGCCAAGATGGGAAAATTAATTATGAAGAGTGGAAATTTCTGATTAAAGGAACTGAGGATCACATATGCGGAGAGCACGGAGAAGGAAGGAGATAAGAACACTTTTCTTGACAGAGGAAGCATAAGAAAAGTAGTGAACGTACATGCCACTGTGCATAGGCTTGCAGTAAACGGAAAAGGCAAAACCCGTATCTGAGCGGTGGGCATGAACATCAAGAAAAGGAAGCAAGGAATTAGATTCCCATTCAGGTTTAAACTTAATGGAAGGGGCAAGATTATTAAGAGCATCAAGAAATGGATGGAAGAGACAAAGAGTCATGAGGCCACAGAGCAAAGATGTCATCAACATAGCACAGCCAGAGTGAAGGGCACACATCGATAGTAGGAAGAAGAACGTCGAAACATCGCCAAAAGCTCCTCTCTTCTACATGCGGGTTATTTGTGTATCGTTCCAGTCACGGTATTGTGCCTTTTTTGTTATTAACAATGAGAAGCATTTCTTTTATTCATTGGAACCATGGCTAGGGCTAAAAGTGAGCAGGTTATAACAATAAATGGAAAAAAAGAAATTGGAATGACTTATGCAGCAAGTAGTGCCACCAAACAGTAGCAGCAGGTCAGTGTGGCAACCCCAGAAATTTGAGATTATGCTAGCCAAAATTAGTGCCAGATTACTGATGGAACTGGATTACTGATTGCCGGATTAGTGATGGCCAACCTGTATATACAATGGAAGGAGTGTTTTGAGGATAATGTACAGTACCATCCTTAAGTACAGTATTTAACTTAAGAATGGATGATGGCCATGAGTAACAATCAGAGATAAGTGTCCAATACACTGGTGTTGTGCTGTACCTTACCTATATGTTTTACTTTCAATAAGTATAGTAACATGCAGCATATGGGAATCTTTATTCAGGAAACGTTTCCTGAATAAAGATTCCCATATGCTGCGTAAGTGTCTCAATCTTCAACTTGTCGGTTTTTCAAACCATTCATCACAAGTATAGTAACACATGCTGTACAATACGCCCATTGCAGTCTTGTACTGAATATACTTCATTAATAATGGTTCTCATTGTTAATAACAAAAAAAGGCACAATACCGTGACTGGAACGACACACAAATAACCCGCACATAGAAGAGAGGAGCTTATACGACGTTTTGACATTCTTCTTCCTACTATCGATGTGCGCCCTTCACTCTGGCTCCGCTGGCTGGTTGGGTGGCCAGCCTGATTTGCTTTGGCTGTCTCTATCTTCTCCTGCCTGTATTTATCTCTGTCTCTATCTCTGTCTATCTCTCTGTATTTCTGTTTATCTCTATCTCTGTCTCTGTCTCACAGATACACATAAATACAGTTATACATAGTGTAAATTACCTAGGATAACCCAAAAAATCCAGCAAAGTCCTATACTATGTTTATAGATACATATAAGGCATAATAAGTATGACTGGCAAGTAATATACATTTTCACTTGTTCAGGAATCAGATGTGACGACTCTGCATCGTATATAATACCTTTTGATTCATGAGCGGCTCTCTCTCTGAGACAGAGACAAGTAGAGAGACAGGAAGACAGAAAGATAGATAAGCAGAGAGAGAGATAAACAAAGAGCTAGACAGACAAATAGACAGATAGAAACAAACATAGACAGAAACAAACAGATAGATATGTTTATGTGTAAGTGAAAAATAAAGCCAAGGCAGTGCACAATCATCAAATGTCACTCCGCTGCTGCACTATCAGCAGTGGAGTGACACTCATCTTACACCATGCATCAAGGAGTTTCATATATACTCCAGAATTTCTAAAACATTGCTGGGACCTGGCAAAAAAGTCAAAAATAATTTTTTATTTATAAATACATTTTTCTTATTTAAAAACCCGTAACAAAAAAATTTGGGTGGTGTTTTGGGGGCTGGAACGGATTAATGAGATTTCAATTAAATTCAATGAGAAAACTTGATTTGATAAACAAGCCAGCCGAGTTATGAGCTAGGTCACGGAATGAATTAAACTCGTAAGTCAAGGTACCATTGTACTCTACTGTCCCTGTACCCAGTATGATTGTTTCTTATAATTAAGAAAATTTCGCAAATCTGGAAACTGCTCAAATGAGTTAGGTACTGTACTGCGCCCTGGAAATTACCAAGTGGCAACTCACCTAAATGTTGTCATATAAAAATTGATTAGCTTCGCAGCAAAGCGTGAAAATTGATTATCAATGCAAACACCATAGTAACCACCAGTCTGGGAAACCTCTTCATATTCTGCTGATTTCTTCCATGTATAAGGGTGAACAATTTCTCCTTTGGGGTTTCGCACAGCAACGCCAGCCATTCCATCACCACCTTTCAACACCTGAATTAAAGATATACAAATATGAATGTTAACCCTTTCACTGTTGCAACCCCCAAAGTTAAAAGTTCCATTGGTGTCACAACTTAATAAAATCTTTCAAAATGGTAGAGGATTTTTTCTGATGGTAATGACATCACAAATGCAAAATTTGATGGAAAACTTATGGAATTACACAGACACCAAGTTGGAGGTCAAGGAGCCTTTACACAACTGATTTTGCCCACTCTGAGCCCTATTTTAGGTCACTTCCTTTGGTCAAACTAACCCAATTCCTGGCTATTTCTCTCTATTGACTGAGCACAAGAAACTGCCCATTCAACCATCAGAACTACCCTATAAAGCATCCAGAAGTTGGTAATTTGGCCAATTTTATGCAAAATTCAATAAAATCCAATTTAAAAACAGTCCAAAACACTACATGCATTACAACCACTAAAGCGACCCAGGCCTCTCCTGTACATATAACACTTGCCCTCCATTTTAAATGCACCCTACAAGAAAATCTAAAATTTACTCCATTTCTCAGCTCATAAATTATAACTAAGAATGACTGGTCATGGTTTAGGTAGGCCAAATAAGTGAAGCAGACCTAGTATATACCCTATACAACAGACTGGGAAGGGGCTGGGTGTAGGGAGACCCTACTCTTCAAGGGACTCATCAAAAATCTAATATTTCTGCTATTTTGCGGCTTATTTCAGGCCACTTTGAGTCTGAGGCTGACCAAAAAATCTGCATTTCACTGCTATATCTTCTGTCTATCAAGTGACACCAAGAAAGCCCGTAAAGCCAACCTAGAAAATACTTCACACCCGTTATTTTGACCCAAACACAAGGTCAGAGGTTAATTGTTCCCATCATGCACTGGGGGGGAGGGTAGCTGGAGGGGGCAGGATATATTTATACTGTGCACACCCACCACACAGACCACTTCTCTCATGTCTATGCCAAAACTTAATGCTCACAGCATATTTTAGAGCACTATGATTAGGATGTAGACTGACATTGGCCTCAGTGACCTGATTATCTAATTACCTCCCATTCCCCAGACACTGCATGGCCCTAATGGATTTAGCAGTTCCCCTTGCTTAATAATAATAATAATAATAATAATAATAATAATAATAATAATAATAATAATAATAATAAAGGTAAGACTTTTTTTAATGTATTAAAAACAAATATCTGTCTCAATTTTCAGATTTCAGTCTCATCACATTTTGTCATTAAAAAACTGAAATCCAAGTCAAGTTTCATCAATTCTATTAAAGTGGAACATCAAATGTATGGAGGAGCTCTGAAGATTTAATTCATCTAAACAAACAAAGTGATAACTAGTGAAAATAAGATAAATATTTACAAAAAAAAATTAAAAGTACATTTTTTTTATTTTATTATCACACTGGCCGATTCCCACCAAGGCAGGGTGGCCCGAAAAAGAAAAACTTTCACCATCATTCACTCCATCACTGTCTTGCCAGAAGGGTGCTTTACACTACAGTTTTTAAACTGCAACATTAACACCCCTCCTTCAGAGTGCAGGCACTGTACTTCCCATCTCCAGGACTCAAGTCCGGCCTGCCGGTTTCCCTGAACCCCTTCATAAATGTTACTTTGCTCACACTCCAACAGCACGTCAAGTATTAAAAACCATTTGTCTCCATTCACTCCTATCAAACACGCTCACGCATGCCTGCTGGAAGTCCAAGCCCCTAGCACACAAAACCTCCTTTACCCCCTCCCTCCAACCTTTCCTAGGCCGACCCCTACCCCGCCTTCCTTCCACTACAGACTGATATACTCTTGAAGTCACTCTGTTTCGCTCCATTCTCTCTACATGTCCGGACCACCTCAACAACCCTTCCTCAGCCCTCTGGACAACAGTTTTGGTAATCCCGCACCTCCTCCTAACTTCCAAACTACGAATTCTCTGCATTATATTCACACCACACATTGCCCTCAGACATGACATCTCCACTGCCTCCAGCCTTCTCCTCGCTGCAACATTCATCACCCATGTTTCACACCCATATAAGAGCGTTGGTAAAACTATACTCTCATACATTCCCCTCTTTGCCTCCAAGGACAAAGTTCTTTGTCTCCACAGACTCCTAAGTGCACCGCTCACCCTTTTCCCCTCATCAATTCTATGATTCACCTCATCTTTCATAGACCCATCCGCTGACACGTCCACTCCCAAATATCTGAATACATTCACCTCCTCCATACTCTCTCCCTCCAATCTGATATCCAATCTTTCATCACCTAATCTTTTTGTTATCCTCATAACCTTACTCTTTCCTGTATTAAAAGTACATATAAAATAAAAAATAGTAGCCATTAGTACCATCTGTCCTTATGTACTGCGTGTAAATTTTACGGTGCATATGAGGAAAAATACTACTGGAATTATACTAAAAGTTCATCAATAACTTTATAGAACATTTTATCAAATATACCCAGGTTTATTGTTCTCACAAGTAATCACTGTATGCACTTTACCATGCACCAGCATATATACAAGGCATATGGCAGTAAATATTGGCATAATTATAGCATGCATTCTCTTAAATGAAGTACAATCCAAGCAAAACACAGGTACCATTTACATTCTGCTTCTTACACCACCCATCAGCTGTGTAGCTGAGAGGCACGGGCTGCACCAGAAAATGGATTAACTATAATGTTATTTTATGAAAAAAAAAAAAAAATACAAGTTTTCAAATAATTTATCAATTCTCACATTCCTTCAGAGGCATAATGTGTGGAGTAGGTAGATAGTAGCTGATAATAAACATGCCCTATATCCTTATCACCCACCAGCAGTACCAGTGGCTTCGGTTGCCACCACAAAAATGGATTAAACTGGAACATTTTTTTACAGAACGTTAGAGAAAAATAAATACATTTTTTTTTTCAACAAGTCGGCCGTCTCCCACCGAGGCAGGGTGACCCCAAAAAAAAAAAGAAAGAAAATCCCCAAAAAGAAAATACTTTCGTCATCATTCAACACTTTCACCACACTCACACATTATCACTGCTTTTGCTATATGCATAGCTGTTTGGGTAGTGTTAAAAATTTTTTGTAATATAAAGTACTGAATTTTTAAGCAAGTTTCGAGTCAAATATTTTCTTTCTTGAATTCTATTTTCCTCCCCTAAAATCTTATAATTTTCCAAATACTGAAACAGTTTAAAATTATCCAAGGAGCAAGATTCCGAACTTTTGGTGTTCCATTGCTTATAATTTTATAAGTACACCTACCATCCGACTTACGACCGAGTTCGGTTCCGAGAAACAGGTCGTAAGTCGAAATGGACGTAAGTCGAACTTTACTACTGAATATCAACATCACATTTTTGTAATGACTTTATTTTATTGTTTTATTTAGGTATTTCATGTTTTACTTTATTTTTTATGCTGTTAGTACTGTATTTTTTACTGTAAGGTTTAGGATAAACACTGTGTACAACACAAATAGTTGTTTATTTCCCAGAAATTTGGCAAAAAAAAACACGGTCGTAAGTCGAGCAGGTCATAAGTCAGATGGTAGGTGTACTGTATGGTCAAACAGTTCATTAAGCATAGTTTCTTGGAAACATGTGCTATTTAATAAGCATATGTTTCCATCAGTGCCAGCATATTAAATCATGCAATTTATTTTTTTCAGGAAAAAAAATCAGTCATCTGAGCAGGTACAGTAGGACCCCCCATATCAGCAGGGGATGCATTCCAAGACCTAACGTGGATACTCAAAACCACTGATAGTAGTGAACCCGACATATAAGTCATTTTTCACTTATGTACATACCTATGAGAGTTTAATTGATAAATTACTCACAGGAAGTCAAGAATTAGCACTTTTTAACTGATGGACAGCATTTCAAGGCTTCTCTTAGGCTTTGAAGAACTACCACCATCACTACTTTTGTGCCTTGTGACCATTATCAAGCAAAATTAGGGGTTATTTTCGGGCCACAGTAAACCATGGATAACTGATACCTCTGAAACTGAACCTGCAGATATAGGGGTCCTACTGTACTGGACAGTATACTATATTGTATATGACACTCTTTAAGCAATGTTCTTGACAGCACAAGGTCACTGAAAACAAATTTATTGTGTGATAAAAGAATTAGCTATCTCCAGCAATCTTCACCATTCCACACATAGGTGGCATAAATGGCAACCTATTACAATGAAGAAAAGTTTTCCCATTTGAAAGGAAAATGTGAACAAGGATAAGAGGTAGGTCCTCATAAGATAGCGTCATTAAAGTTTTCCCATTTGAAAGGAAAATGCAAACAAGGATAAGAGGTAGTGTCCTCATAAGATAGTGTCATTAATGGTGCTACAAGTATCAGTGCTTGCTCTGGAAATGTTCCTAATTTTTATAAATAATGTGCTAATGGGAATTAAGAACTACATGAACATGTTTGAAGATACAAAGATCCTATGCAAGATAAGCAATAAAAATTACTAGTTATCTAATCTTAAAGGAAGACCTGGACAGAGATAAGCAATAAAAATGACTATTCATCTATCCTTAAAGGAAGACCTGGAGGAAATTAGGATGATGTATCATAAAATTTGCATTCTATATGTGGCCTGTTTTCATTAAATGCTACTAATCCACATTAAATTTCATCATTCGCTTAATGTCAGGTCTTCCTTTTAGGCATACACTCGGATTTTATCCCTCTGATAAAAGGATGGTAAATAGCAAACCATCTAGAGAGGTACTGATGTCCTGACATGTAAATGTGAAATGAATGCCTGTTCAATGTTTTGCATGTTTTTACTTTGCCTCGTGGAAATATTTTTATTATTATTATCACACTGGCCGATTCCCACCAAGGCAGGGTGGCCCGAAAAAGAAAAACTTTCACCATCATTCACTCCATCACTGTCTTGCCAGAAGGGTGCTTTACACTACAGTTTTTAAACTGCAACATTAACACCCCTCCTTCAGAGTGCAGGCACTGTACTTCCCATCTCC